TGAAGGTCTTACAGCAGCCGGCCTTTGACCTCCAGCCCTCCAGTGTGTCATTGGTCTGGAAGTTGCAGGCTCTGACATAAGCGTCCAGGAACTGGCACTGGCTMAAACCGTCCACCACAGGATATTTGCACAGAGTGTTGGTGCAGGCMGTGATGAAGGGCTCTGGGTGGGTGTGGTTGTGGCAGGTGGTGAAGGGCGCCTCCATCAGGAGGTTACAGCTGTTGTTGGAGATAGAATGTTAAAGTTCAATCGACGTGGGTGAAAAATCAAGGTCAGTGAAAGATGAAGGTTTGTTGGTCAACAGAGCTGTGTCCCATTCTGTACAATCACAGGGCAAGTGTCATGTCTGCTGAGCTAAAACAGAATCTTGATTCCTGTCAACACAAACACTAAAAAGGTCCTGAGATAAAAAGATGGGTCGTCTGAGTGCAGGTGTGTTATGGAAGAAGCTCTAAGATCATACAATTCATTAAAAGTAACAACACCACATAGAATAACTCTTTGGCTACAAGTCAAAATCCTGTATTCAGATTTTACACAAGCATTAAATTCAATTCAATTTWATTTGCATAGCGCCAAGTCACAATATTATCTCTAACCAACAGTTCCCACAATGAGCAAGCACTTCAAGTACATTCATATCATCAATATATATACTTAATATTCGTAAAGTGAATCTGCAGGTAAACAGAACTGTAGAACAGAAAAACAATCTTCACTCTTGAGRAAATGTACTTTGTTCRGTTCCACATCAAAGGGAGCAAGTCATTTTCCRCATAGACAAAAATGAGACGAAGAGCAACACCAACTCTTTGAGAACTCAGTGTGTGTTCAGGTGMGTTTCTGCTCACCGCTCAGTCATCCTGGTGCAGTTGATGGTTCTGTCTGCAGATTCAGAGTAATTCCTCTTACAGCTGGAGAGGGGAGGCAAACAGCAGAGGGTCAGGGGTGTTCCCTTGGGCCTGACTCATTCACATAAACACACTCATACACTACCCAGTGGTTTGTATATGTGCAGCCGTCAGTGGGACATTCAGGTAGTGACCAGGTCTCACCTTCTGGAGCTGAACTCGGTCCTCACTTCACTCAAAGGCCCACTGGAGTTACCACATAAACCCATCATGTTGGGTTTACCTAAAACTGAACGATGTGAACAGATTATTAGTCAGACGAATAAAAGTCAGACTGGATGCACATGGCTGCTCTTTAAAGGACATCTGTCATCCACTGATTCTAACAGCCTCAGAATGATCACACCTGAAGATGCAAACAGAGCTGGGACGTCACCATCACACCAC